CAAAGAAAATTTTATTTCGAGAACTTATCTTCCATGCGTTCAACGATGTTGCTTATATGTCGCTGTATGCTCATAACAAAATGGTAAACGACTAGTCGACTGACAGAACGCGAAAAATATACGACACATTTTTTTCATTCTAAGTGCCACACAAAAATTTACGACACATTTTTTGTAATGGAGAGCACAACACAAAAATTCACGACACATACAGCCGACGCGTTTTTATTTAGTGTGTTCTGACAAGCATTAACCTTCCTCTTTGTGAAGAGTTACGGTAGAAAAGCTAACTTGCGATTTGCTTCTCGGGTCCCATCCATCCAGTAACATTGGCATCTCCTCCAAAAACATCGATGTCGCACGATCACATTTCAGCTTAAACTTTTCTGATCTAAACGAAAAAAAGAATTATGTTAAACCTAAAAAAACTAGATTCCATCCATAATGTGAAAACTAATGTAAATGGGTGGTGCAGGTTGCAACTGCAATTACCTGAATGCCGATCCAAAATACTCGGGAAAATGAGACCGTAATTGATCCTCATAATATTCGTCAGAATATATGCTCATCATAGAACCACCAACTGATTTCATATGAACAGACTGCAGTCGTGCTCGAATGCATCTGTCTCGAAAATATTCCAATGCAGTTTTGTATTGTTTTTTAAGTTGATCCAGACCAGGGTTGTTATACTCGGGTGTGTTCTCTGCAATAACTGTTATAGATTTGAATATGGCACAGATTGGAATGAAGAGTTGAGCACCAATATTGTACTTTTTGTAAAGGATCGAACTTTCTTGTTTGAATATGGGAAGAATTTCGTGAAAATGTGTCGGATGTGTCGTGAAAAATGCGTCGTGGTCTTGCTGGACAGAANCAAATGGGTGTCTTCCATATACCATGCGTGCAGAAATCACTTGATGGAAACTGATTCTCACTACCCGAAAATGCCTTTAATGGTAGCTAGAAGGACTGTTCCTAGGCTAATATAAACTGTTGTATGTTCGTAAAGATTATTCTATTTTTTAAGTACACCGTCAGTCCGAATTCTGAATTATCTAAATAAATATTAGAAGGAAAAAAATTGTTGAATAAATTGTCCTGGTGAATTGCTAAATTAATGACTAAAACAAGACAAAAACATGAGACACAATAACTACAGTTTTCAATTTATTTTATTCAATTTCGTCTGAATAATTTTTGAATTAATAAAAAAAAATATTTTTTATTCATATGACAAATTGAATAAAACCTAGAAAAAAATCGTATCTTAAAGCATCTTAGAATGACTAGAAATATTGATAAATTGATCTCTCGATCAAATGGCTCAATGGTCTGAACGATGGGTAAGTAATAGTTGGTTTGGTATGTGTGTTCGAATCTAGTTGGGTGTGGGTGGTGTTGTGGAAAGAGAACATTCACTAGCACATTTACACTCGCCTATACCCACGCTCATACCCTCAAGAAAAACACTGGAAATCTCGGGAATTGGAAACAGTATTCCGGCCGGAAGTTTTCGGTTGTTCTCCGCTGATTTTACAATCAGTTCCTGGCTGAGAGCACAGGAAATCGCTGAGAATTTACAGGAAAATATCCGGTCAGAATACTGCTTCCACGTTCCAGTGATTTCAGGTGTTTTCCTGCAGTTTCCCGCCGTACGAATTCGACCTGGGTGTTGAACTTTACTTCATTGTATTATAAACGAAAACAATAAGGCCTTGTCAAGCTGTAGAGTAATAACAACTAACTATATTCTGTAGTTTTTCGCTCGATGCATGAACTTTCTCGCACAGTTTTCAACATGGAATTCAAGAAGCAATGGCAAAGCATGACTACACTATAAACAAACTTCTAGAATAATAAAATCCTTTAAGGTTTGATGAAAATTTTTACATACAATAAAAACAATTGATTATAGGTTGTACTTTCATCAACCCCAAAGAGCTTAGCTTTTTGCACTTTTTTATGTAGCGTGGGTCAGATACAGTCGAGAGTTGAGCTAGATGTACCGCCAAGCGTTACTAGCATGTATGAGATGAAAGAGAACGTACTGAAGAACATTATCTAATTACAAAGAGAACTCTAGATGAACATCTTTCGTTTCCGCATGAGGCACTTGCGAATGTGGTGCAAGAAAGTAATGCGTTAAGGATGATGAAATCTTGAGACTTGTCGATAAGAAAAAAGAACATAAGTAAAACAAAAGGGTAGTTTTGAGTTCCAACTACTCTTAGAATCGAATATTTTTTCTGCCATGCGCATAACTTTCTGAGGATTCTTGAATAAGAAAATGATGCGCTATGGGCAAATCGTCAGGTGTGCGTAGGTCAAACATGAAAAAAGAGCGATCACCTAGGAAACGTACTGAATAATATACAGTGCTATGAAAAATTATAGAATCACTTGTTTAATTTTAGTTGTTAGTTTATTTTCGATCAACTTATGTATGCTTAGTAAATCAAAGCCCGTGCTGGTGATAAACATTCAAGTATGCTCTATTCAATTATCACGTCAGATTCCTGAATACTCTCATTGGGTTTGAGAAAAATAAAGCTTATAGGAATCGGTCAGTTTTTACTTGTGAAAAATTATAGAATCAGCATCGACTTCTAGTTGTTTTCGTGTCAAAACGAATTCGATTATGATTGAAAGTGATATTCATCAAAAGAGACAGTCATTCAGAACGTTTCAATTACAGAAACTTTGAAAATAGATTAATTTTCGAAATAAAAATGAGATGATATAAACCAAGCGAAAATGGTTAGAAAACGCAATTTAATCTCAGTAATCTGGCTATATTACTTGGAATGAAGATGATATCGTTCTTGTTAACGATGAATTCAGAGAGCGAACACATTTTGCAACAAAATGAGATACTTCGGAACTTTCTACATATCCTCATTACAGCAATAGGCATGGTGTCAAAAATACAAGGGGAGTGACGAGATTCTAATCAAGGGTGTGGGTGTGGGTGTTGCGATAAGTGTGGGTGTGGATGTTGGTGTAAGTGCGCTGAATTCCGGAACCGTTGGGAATTAGGCGGAATCCGTTTGAATTCCGTGTAATTCCGGAATTGAATCGGAATGGATAAACGGAATTCTGGGAATTAGATGGAATTGATCGGCAGCGATTCCGGAGTTCCGGAATTCTGTTGGAAGTGATAAATGGAATTTTGGGAATTAGATGGAATTGGTTCCGTGAGCGGAACCGGTTCCGGAATGTTCAACATTGCGGAATAGGATGTATTCTCTCACCATGACAAAAGCGTTTTCCTTCATTATATAGACGAAATAATCAATCAAATGTTTTATCTACTGATGTGGTTCAACAACAATTGAATGAATTACTTAATGAACCTATATCAGAACAATATCAACGTCAGTTTCGTAAATATTTTGGTGCTAATATAACTACAAAAACATTTACGATTCATGAATTCGCTCATCTGTTTCAAGTAACATCACTACTTAGTACGTTCTTTGTTTGATTATTTAAATCAATTGAGATTTGTTTTCTCTTTTATAATATAAAAGTAAACAAATTTTAATTATATTTAAATTAAATGAAGTATATGAAAAAAATTCAATATTAGTGAAGATATAATTCGTATAGCTCGTCTTCTTTGGATATCACCAATGTCAGTAAAAGCATTTATACTTCTTAAATTATTTGATGTTAATGATGATGGAAACATTTCTATAGAGGAAATTCGTTTATTTTATGAACATTATTTGTCTGAACTTAGATTTTTTAAAGAGCAAAATAGATTAAATGGAATTGCTGATGTATTTCTTCATAGACTTTTCCCAAGAAATGGTGAACAAAATCAACAAGAAGAATTAAATTTTATCGACTTCTTCAACAAAATCCATCCATTTTAAAGTCACTCTATCTAATTAGTATACCTGATCAAGATAAAGAAGAAGATGAAGAAAATAGTTGTTTACAACGATTTTGGATGTATATAAAAAATAATGCCAGCCGTATTGCTTTTATTTTATTAAATATCCTAATTCAAATTGGATCGATTGTTTATGTTATTGTTGATCGAGTTGGTGTTATGTTAGTTAACTTTAACTATACAATTGCAATAAGTAAAATGCTCAAACAAACAATGACTATCATTCGACGGTTATGTTTTCTTCGTTTAATTATGCCAGTTGATGATCATATTGATGCACATCGTTTAGTAGGAACAATATTATTTATTTCTTCCATAGTTCATACATTTGGCCATGTAATTCAATTTGCAACCCATACAGAAGGTAATGAATAGATTTTTCTTTCGATTTAAATTAGGTTTGAATCAATGTTTACAACAGTTGCAGGTATTGGTTGGGTGGGTGTCTCATTTAGCTACTATCACTGGCGATATTTTGTTTGTTTTGCTTATTCTAATGTTTATTTTTTCATTACAATGCGTTCGACAACGATCTGGCTTTTATCAATTATTTCGTTATAGTCATTATTTATTTTGGCCAATATTTATTCTTCTTGTTATTCATGTGTCTAGAAAAATTTATTTACTCAAACGACATTTACCTAAATATGGTCGGACACGTTTAATTTCAGTACGAACTGAAGATGAACATGTTTTATCATTAATTATTGAACGACCGACTAATTTTTCTTTTCATATTGGAGAATAAGTAAATATATGTTTACCAAACATCAGTAAGTTTTAGTTTATAGGAAGAAAAATCGAATCAAATACATGTTTTCTATTTTTCTTCTCTGTATACTACAGTAAGGGCTGAATGGCATCCATTCATAATTTGCAGTTGTCCAGAACGAAAAGATATTATTCGTTTAGCGATAATGAAGAAAACAAAATTTATGAACATTTTTTATCACAATCAAATAATGATGATGCTGATTTAAATGAAGTTACAATTGATCAGATTGAACGAAATTATTCAACGAATCAATTACTATTATCCAGTGAAACCAAATTTACTGATAATCAAAAAGATGCTGTTGCTTGTACCGAAGGACCATTTAGTACTTGTACATCGTATATATTTGATTGTGAGCATGTTATTTTAATTGGTGCTGGCATTGGAATAACGCCGTATATAAGCGCATTGGAAAGTTTAATTTATCGATTACGAGAGCAACATTGTAAATGTTTCCATTGTGGTTCAACTAATTATAAACAAGGAATATTAGCAAGTCGAAAATTGATAAAAGTTGATTTTATTTGGGTTAATCGTGATATTAGAAATATTTCATGGTTTTATAATATTCTCAATGATTTCGAACTCGAGCAAGAACCTTATTTAAATGCTACAACAAGTAATGTACAATCTTCCCCGCTATGATCTTGTTGCTAATATGTATGAACTCATGCGGCATCAAGATATGCATACACAATTACAAACACCAACACATGTTGGACGACCGCCATGGAAATTACTTTTTGCAAAATTTAAAGTTGAACATTCATCAACAAATATATTTTTTACTGGTAATGAAACAATGGGCGGTGAAATAAAAAGCCATTGTAACGAACACGGTTTTACATTTCAACATGAACCATTTTTTTAAATAAGATATTGCGATTTTATTTTCATATAAACTAAATATTGAATTCATGTCTGTTTAATAAATGTTTTTATTGTTTACATATCTTATACACAGATTCTACAATGTAGAGAATGACTCAAATAATGATCATATAAACAAATGTCATTAGTATGATACTTGACGATATTATAAACTAGAAAAATATGATTATGAACAATGTCAACTACAATTATCGTTGACACTAAAGTATAAACGACTGTTATTGCGATGATTGTTTCTTTTTTCAATGCTTTTGCAACGACAAGAAAAAAGAAGTATTTTAGAACGATAATAGATGACCTGTACTTGTTGTTTGAAGTCATAATGAGTTCTCAAGAACCTCATGACAAGTTTACCAAAAACATAAAATTGCTCGTTTATATGAACCTTCAGAACTAAGTTATGTTCGTGTTTTGAATTACTGATGCAATGATAGTCATATACTGAAAAATCTGAATTCGTCGACAAATTTCAAAATTAGCTGCAGAATATGAGAATAATGAGCAATTGCTTATTTGATGAACTCCAACGAGAGAAAAACAACAAGTAGCATGTGACTTAGATTAAATGGGGCCAAATAGTTTTGAATACTTTGAGAAATACATGGCCTATTTGCTTGATAGAGAATTTTTTTTGTCCTACAAAAGTGTTGAATTTTTTATTCAAATAAGTTTCTCGTGTTGAAGCAAAATATCTAAAAAACAAATTAAATTTCATTAATCATTCAACTGCAACAATCAAAAATTTAATAAATCAATGGAACATGTTTGGTAATGACTCATTTCAAACATGTCACTCAATATTCTTCATCTTTTGATGCATGCTCTAGAGTTTGAGAAGAAATCTTCTCGAAAAAGTAATCGACGGTAAATAAATATGAAAAGACTTCAAGTCAATTCTTTTGAGAGAATAATCTCATTGTCCTTGTTTACTTCAAGGCAACCTAATCGTTTTTATTCTTTTACTTAACATCCAACAGTATGAGAATGAAAGTTTTATATGGCAAGTCTCACTTCAGACAACATTATTTTTCCAAATATGCCCGAAAATACCACTGATTGCTGGCTCCTCCAAGCTTTGTTTTGCTGAATTATTGAACCATAAACCTTGAAACGTTTGTGGAAACATCGATCGAAAAGTTCTCTATTCTTTGATGTTAAATCCTTTATTTTTAGGAACAGTCTTCGTGAAAAAATGCTTGCCGAAGTTGATAGATATCTAGAGAAAATTCTTTGAAAATGAAAGTTAACAGTTTTGTCGAGTGAAAAGTTTTCTATCGAAAACGCATAGAGCACAGCTCTGAAAGTATATCGACATTTTCAAAACAAAGAAAATGATTTTGTTCCATTTAATCTGCTCGCAGCACTATTCAATTTATGACTGTCATGTTAGCATTAAATTTAAAAAAATACTAATGATTCTGCATTACTGGCATTAGAATTAACTAATACTACATAGGTGTTAGCACCAATTTTAATTCTAAAGGTTGTGCCCAATACAACTCGTAGAGCTCTACTAGAAACGTTAGCTCTACCACTTCAGGTGATACAGACAATAATTTAAATGTTACTAGCGTTACCTAAGATACTAGTAGCATCTCCGGAATTCTGCTAACATTCTAGGCGATGCTACTATCATCCCAGGTGATGTGTACAGTACTCAATGAATGCCACGAGAATGATCTCAATGCACTTGTTTCAAAGAGACGAAAAGTATCTGTATTAGAATTAAAAATGGTTCTAACGAGGAAATTGTCTGAGGTGATGCCTCATATTTTTCGTTGGATAGGGCCTAACGAAAGTGAAAAAAAAACTAGAAGAATTTCTTCTTATACAATGCTTCTCTGGAATTTTGACCGTTTCAATCCTTGACACCGTAATTATGACAAAAACGAACAATCGATTTTTGGCCTAAAACTTTGTTGAGAAGTGCGTCTCGAGCTAGTTTCTTTTCAGATCTGATATCCCAAGAAGGAATCATTCTTTTTTCCTAAAATATTTAGAATATTCTAATAGACTGAAGGGCTGTTTGTGACGACATTTTCAGATCAACATTCGATTTTTGTCATAATTATAGTTTCAAGGATCAAAACTGCATTGAAAATTTCGTAAGAGCAACGCATGGAGAGAAATCCTCCTAGACTGGCTCTACCTAACGAGGGGAGTTCTACAAAAAATGCAACTTGTCACCTGAGATGGTTCCCTCATAAACTGATGCTGGCACTTCTGATACAATTAGTGTAGCAGGAAAGTTTTAACTCTAAAAGGCAATTTCTTGTAATATATAGTATACCAAAAGGAAATGATATTTTTTCCATGGACTATACCCCCCGCCCCTGCTAGATTTTTTTCTTTTCATTATATTTTTGCTGGGACACATGTGAGGATATAAGATTACGAAATCATTCTGTAGACGTTTTTAGTATTAGTGAAAAAATCAATATTTAAGGAAAAAGTCAATTTCCATAGAAAATACTAGAAAAACGATTAGTTTTCCGAATTTTTAGTTATCGAAAATTGACGTTTATGAAAAATAAGCATCATATTCAAGATCAGCGTGCAAAAATACACCAAGAAATTTATTTAGTATCGTGAAATATTTCCCATCAAAATTTCGCCCTACTCCCCCTCAGGTTTTTATTTATTAAATTTTTACCTGTACTCCCCTACGAGGAACAATTTTGATGGGAAATATTTCGCAATAGAAAATTAATTACTTAGTGTATTTTTGCATGCTGATCACGAGTATGATACTTATATTTTCCGTAAAAATCAACTATTGACGGTCGAAATTCTGAAGAACTGGCCGTTTTTTTAAATTTGTGATGTGAAAATGATTGTATTCAAGAAGTTTGAATCCCAGTAATAAAGATTAACATTTTGTGTTGACTTTTCTTTTGTTATTTGACAGGCTGTATGCAAGTACATTGATCACAAAAATGCCACTTCTTAACTCATAGTCATTGTAAAGTTATTGGCTAAACAATGTTTATAATGGATTGAAAAATAGCCGTTAGAAAGAGGATTTTTTATGATAGTCAGCATTTGTTAAGAAAGTAGTCGGATAAGATGATTTTAATTTTATTCTATAGAGAATCTTTAGTTCCTAATACAGTAAAAATTTGGTGGTTATTCATGCTACTATAGATGAGATATAGATTTCGATAGGATCGAAGGGTCAATATCTGTTGAAAATGATCTTGTTCCTAAAGTATTGATTTTTTTGCTGACACTAAAAATGTCCAAGGAATGATTTCGTGATCTCGTATCCTCAGATCAGTCCCAACAAAAAAAAATAATTAAAAGAAAAAAAATTTAGCGTGGGGTATAGGTAGCAGTTCCTTTCTTTCATATGCATATTACTTTACTGTTAAAAAAATCTATTAAAAGAATTGGAAAATTGAATTCTATCTATTTATTTTTTTTAATTAAAAAGACAATTGAATGATTAATTGATTTATCTCAATTAGATGACAAAATAAATTACACAGTAATTCAAGTCCAGCTTCCAACACTGTGAGTGTGAACTAATAATCGTAATGAAGATTTCATTAGTAATATATATTGATAACAAATATTATCTTTTTGAGTTTACTATTAAAAACAGAACTTATTCAAATTAAAAAGTGGAATTGTTATTCTGATACTAATAAGGAGTCTGAAATGTTATTGTGATCATGTAACAAAACAAGATTTTATTATTAATAATGACATATTCTCTTCTCGCAAGATAAACCTAAGATATAACAACAAGCAAGAACCCAAAAGTTATACAAAGTACATTAAACATGAATGAAAACAAGAAAATTTAAATTACACATGACGTAGAAAAATAAAACTAAACTTAATATGCGTATAAGAAAGCTAAAGTGCGATCTTTTCCTAGTAGACAATAAGATACAGTTAAAATCGTCTATCAATTCATTGACATATCGAGTGGTAGATCCAAATTCCATCACTGATTTTGAAACGTTCCAGTAAAACCTCTATATCTCCGCTTCCTGAAGTCCGTTTGAGTTGATTTTTAGTTTCCGGAATAGACAAAACATTTTTCTATCGAATTGTATAATTTTCATCAAGATACGATTCGTTTTGAGTGAGCAGCAACAAAGATACAAACACCTATTTTCATTTTTGTCCCGTTCTGTCCATGTTTTAATTCCATCATTTCCAGCAAAAATGTACAAATTTTGTTAAAAAACTTAATTTTCAAGCGGAAGGTTGGCATCTTTCCAAAAACAAATTACACCATTTGATTCAGGAGATCAAGCTCTATCGATTGATATGTTTCTTGTTACGAATAAATATATATTTTATATATTTTTTCTCGTAACAGTCAACTTTTTCGTGTGATGCAATTAAGTAGTGTAACTTAATCCCATCACACCAGCTATTCCTCTTTCCTTATTTCATCATGTAATAGAGAATACATGTAAAATTGTTCATCGTCAGAAATAAAAACATTGGCGCTAGATCAACTACAAAATTTTACTAAACAATCTATACAAAAAATGTAGCTGAATTCAGTGACTATCTGTTAATGAAAAGACAGACGATTTTCGCCTTGTCAATTAATTACTTACCTTCTGTGACTGTAGCTCGAAGGGATTTGCGAAATGTTTCATGATCTGTGAAACGTTTTCTTTTCTGGGATCGTATATTAAGCGTTAGATCAAGTGGAAATGATTGAGAAGCTGCATGAATAGGAGTAGAAACTAAATATAGAAGATAATCTTTATTAAAAATTCATGATCTGTAAAAAAATTACCAGGATCAACCAGATTCAATAAAGAAGATGAAGATGATGGCGATTGATCGATGTTCGTTGATGTATCAATAGATTTATTAATAAGTACAGCTGGCGAATAAGATGACGAAGTAGAAGAATAGGATATTGTTGTTGAGTTTGACGACATTGAAGGTGTAGCACACACGAGGCGATGCTGAAGGATATTTGTTGGAACATGATGTATACTTGAGGATTGAGTCGTCGGATATATGCTAGTATTATTAGCAACCTTGTGACACATAGCATTTTCATCGAACGGCGAAACGCCTAAAAATATATTTAAGTACTTCAACCAAGTGCTATGTATTAAAATTTGCTTACCAGCACGTGCAAACGAGGAAACAATTCTTGTGGGTGAGAAAGCAGCTTTCTCAATGAATAAATTCTTAATTAGCCGGGCAAAATCACTATTTTTTATTGATTTGTTTCCTTCCCTAAGGTGATTTTTGACTAATTTCGACCAGTCATGTTTGACAGAGTTGAAAACAACAACATCCAGAGGCTGAAGAGCGTGAGTCGAATGACTTGGTAGCATTAAGCATATAATTTGATTAGCCTTCAGAAGGTTGACGATCTTTAAACTAATATGTGAAGCATGGCCATCGATAATTAACAAAAGTGGACGTTTTAGATGAGATGTTGAAGGAATGAATAAGTTTTCCAGCCAATATTCATACATATATGTATTGATCCATCCCTGAAACAGATACGTTGCCTAAGAATCATATCTACAAATAATGCTTACTTTCTTTGTGACCCCGTAATGGGCTCCTTCTAAACCACCTCTGCACCAAGTGTTGATCAGATTTTTACCAGCATATATCAATCATGGTGGTAATACTTGTCCACCAGCAGCGATACATATAAGAGCCGTGCGATAATCTTTTCCAGTTCCCCCGTTGGATTCGAAAGCGTGTCGGCAACTGGAATTAACTATTACCCATTGACCTAACAATGTAAATAATAGATATGAGAAGTCGATAAAGTTTGAACTAGTTACCTTTAGTCTTGTCTGAAAATCCAGACTCATCTGCATTAAATATCTGGTTCGTCTTATCAAAAAGATCGTGCTTGATCAGCACATCTTTAAGTGTTTTAAACCATCCAGATCGATTTTGTTCGGTAAATGCTTCCGCGCGTGCTCTTTCAAGTTTTTCTTGTTTCTTCCAAATAATATCATCGGAATGTCTTTTAACAAAAGAATTCAACCATTTGGACCCTGGCTGCGTAGTAAATTCAAGAGATTCAAAATATTCTGCAGCCAGCTGCAGAGCAAGGGTTTTCGTGACATCAAAACCATATTCTGGAAGCAGCTGTAGTAGAGAGACAAAGTGACTTTCTTCGTTAGAGTTTAAGTACGAAGAACGACCAGCACGGATGTTAAGAGTCGACTCCCGACGATGCTGACGAATCGTACTAGCAGGAACCTTGAACTCAATTGAAGCTGCTCTTGAGTTCATATCACTCGCTACAGCATCGACAAGAGCTTGGTGAGTATATTTTTTCGACATTTCGAGAAATGAATGTTTTCAATAATGACAGCAAGAAAAGAAATAAAAAGAATATTGTTCAATAACATTATTACGCAAATTGACTTAATTATAAGCTAATTTGTAAAATATACATGTACATTAATTATTATTGGATCTATCAATCAACTCGTTTGTACAAAAATTAGACATTTACGAGAAGATCGATCAATTGATATTATTTTACATACTGAGTGTAAATTAATCATCCCTACTAGTAAGTGCTCAAAGATAGAATAATGTTACATCTCAAACTAGAAGTAACAAATAATGCAAGGTCCTTTATCTTAAAAAACTCAATCAACTTTAGGTCTAAATCTTCTGACTTTTCATTAACAGATAGCCACTGAATTCAGCTAAATTTTTTGTGTAGACTGTTCAGTGAAATTCTGCAGTTTATCTAGCGCCAATCTTTTTATTTCTGATGCTGAACAATTTTACATATATTTTATATTACATGATGAAATAAGGAAAGAGGAATAGCTGATGTGATGCGATTAATTTGCACTACTTAATTGCAGGGTGTTTCCACCAGCTTCCTCCCACCATTTACAGAAAAGTTTTCAAATCCCGTTTTATTGGCTTCATCTTGTAGAGATTTTTGCGCTGATCATTTTTTGTTCTGCGTTTTCAACGATTAGTTGAGAAATAAGAAAGATATCGAAGAAACATTGAAAATAAGGTTTTTCACAAAAAATGCAGTCTATTTCGG